TAGAATAATTTATTTACCCAATGGGTTATTCAGAATTAAAAGAAATAAAGAATTTCTGGAACAAGCAAAACGTAAAGGAGTTCATCCCAATTAAACCAGCTTTATGAGAAATGTTGTCTTTAAGCAGAAAGGGATCGCCATAACCATAAATAAGAAAATATAAGAAAGGGGAAAAACCTCACACGTAAAGCCAAATAGTCACTAAATATAGCAATTCAGACACTTAAAAAGCTACTATAAAAGTCAAAAAAGTATCAATCTCAACTCGAACTACAATAAGTAGTTAGGAAATACACAACACAAAAAGATATAAAATGTCACATCAATAACACAAAGCATGGAGGGGGTAGTAAAAATGTGGTCCTTATAGAATATTCAAACTTAAATGCCTATCATCTTAAAATAGACTGCTATAAATTTTTTTTTAAATGATATTTCTAAACCTCATGGTAACCACAAACCAAAAAACCTACAAAAGATATACAAAGAACAAAGAGAAAGGAATCAAAAAAATCAAAAATAAACCACTAAAGAAAAACACTAAACCACAAGGGAAGAGATCAAGAGGAGAAAAAAAGACTAAAAAGAATTAACAAAACGGCAATAGGTACATGCTTATCAATAGTTACTTTAATGTAAATGAATTAAATGCTCGTCAAAAGACATATTTGCAAATGATACATCCAATAAGGCTTAATATCCAAAATATATAAAGAACTCATACAACACCAAAAAAAAAAATAAATAAACAACCCAATTTAAAAATGGGCAGAGGATCTGAATAAACATTTCTCCACAGAGGACATACAGATGCCAATAGACATGTGAAAAAATGCTCAATGTCACTAATCATCAGGGAAATGCAAATTAAAACCACAATGACATGTCACCTCATGCCTGTCAGAATGGCCATCATCAATAAATAAACAGTGTCGGTGAGGATGTGGAGAAAAAGGAATCCTTGCGCACTGCTGGTGGGATTGCAAATTGGTGCAGCCACCAAGGAAAACGATATGGGGGTTCCTTAAAAATTAAAAATAGAATTACCTTAGGACCTAGCAATTCTACTTCTGGGTATTTATCCAAAGAAATACAAAACACTAACTTGAAAAGATATATGCACCCTATGTTCACTGAAACATTATTCACAATAGCCAAGATATGACAGCAACCTAAGTGTCCATCGATGGATGAATAGACAGAAGACGTGGTACATATGTATATTGGAATATTATTCAGCAATAAAAAAGAATGAAATCTTACCATTTGCGACAACACGGATGGACCTAGAGGGCATTGTGCTGAAAAAAATGTCAGACAGAGAAAGACAAACATCATGTGATCTCACTTATATGTGAAATCTAAAAAAACAAATGAATAAACAAAACAGAAACAGACTCATAGATACAGAGAACAAATTGATGGTTGCTAAACAGGAGGGGTTGGGATGAGAATCAAAATAATAAAGTAAAATTAAACTTAGATAACGTATGTTCTAAATTGTTTGTGTTTTGAAGCTCAAGGAATATGCTTTTAAATTTTTCATGGTAAAGCCAAGGTATTATGTTCCAACACCATAGTTTATTCTCAGAAACTCTACCAGCACTCAAAATAATTGCGGTGCAAAAAAAAAATCTTTTTAATAAAATGTGCAATGCCTATGGACACACGTGGGTATTATATAACGTGTCAAACACGTACACACACATACCCTTGAGAGGGGTTTGGTGGCTAACATCTTTCGAATCCATCTGGCGTATTCCCCCACCCCTACCATTTCATTGCTCTTTCGTGCAAGTGGTCACAAACAGTGGATCTAAATTTGGCACATTTCAAGGTCAAATGATGCAGTAAACAGAATTTGACCTCAAACAATATGCCTTTGTCCATTCAGCCATCCGTGTAGACGTGCACACACACTGCACTTTGCTTTCTGCAAATCCACAGACCTCCGTCCCAGAAGGTTCCCCTCTTCGCCATCTAATGCTTATAGAAAAGAAGACATCTGGATGTGTTTGTTGCTCCCCCTCCACCTCCCACCGCCCCTTAACACACACACGACAGCTGTAAGAGCAAGGACGGCATGTTTTTTTAAATTCCACTGGTTCATGTAGGCACGTAATTCGAAGCAGCTCCAAAATGGACATCGAGTAAAAAATACCAGTTTTCGAAAGTCTGTAATTATGTATTTACACAAATTACATAATCCTGTGTGTATTTACATACAATTGCAGGTTATCAAGGAAATCACACAAAGTCGTGTTAACGAATGAGATGAAACAGAACGAAAACACGGTGAACTGAAGCCATTCGTTTATCTGCACAGCAGGGCCTGGCATGTCTGTCCTTCAGTGCTGCCTGGGAGACTCACGTGGCAGATGGGAGGGGGCCTCGGTCGTGCCTGTTTAAGTCTTTGACCAAGGAGCAAGTGTTGGCACTGACGACATAGCAGTTAGGCTGTCTGAGCATCTGTTTGTGAAAACCGAGACCACCCATTCCACAGTAGCTCGGGGCTGCCATTGGGGCTCTGGGTCTCTTAGGACAAGAACTAATGCAAACCCATGAGCTGAGGGTCAGCACCCTGCTGCCCCACAGGACAATGCCCACCGAACCCCTGAGCCATCTACTCTCCAGGAATGCTTATTTACATAAATTGCATAAGTCAATATTTATTTATTTACAGACCATTACAGTTTATTGTATCAATTGCCAAAAGCATATAACATTTCGTTTTTGTTTCTTTTTTCATTTTTTTTTAAGTTACCAAAACAAAATAACTCCAAAAGTAGACATTAAAGTAGCATTTTCTAGGAATGCATGGACATTTTAGTTTTTTTTCACAAATTGTTTTCTTTTAGGCCGATTAGCACCTCCTGCTACTTTAAGATTACTTTTGGCTATCTCCTAAAATCAGCTTTTTCTCAGTGCTAAAGAGTGTACCTACGACCTCCTAGAAACTTGATTCTTTCCTGTGGTCAGATGTTTAATGTTTTTCAGCCAAAAATATTAAATGCCTTTTAGAAAAACTAAAGCCTGAATATGTGCACATTTTAGCAGCAGCAAAGGGTTAAATAATAAATAAGAATATTACATCTTGGAATTAAATGCAGTTTCTGTTTAGAAAGTGAAAAAAAAAGAGAGAGAAAGGAAATAAATGAAGAGAACATTCTGACCTTTATCATAAATCAACTATTTTACATTGCTTCGGCCCCCTTCCCCCAAAATATTTCTTAATTCCAAATGTAGACTTAGTTTTTCCTAAATGCACATCAGCAGGTGGACTCTGCCGTGTGCTCCAGCTTGGACCTCAGAAGGCCACATGTGCTCATGGCAATAAGTCGTGCGCTTGTACTTCAAAACAGCTCTAACTCACCAGTGACGTACCTTCATTTTTCATAGAGAATGTGCATCAAAGCAAAACAAAGTTGGAATATTAAATTTTAAAATTAGCTACATAAATCCAAACACATTTTTTAACCGTCACTTTCAATTTCCCAACATAACCGGCTAGAAGGTGTTCTATGTGGTATGAGAATTTGTTATAAATTCCTGCTCTTAAATATTGCTTTAAGAATTTGGCTCTTTTCTCCTTAGTATATAGTAAGAAATAGTCTCCCCTGCCCAAGGGCAAGTTGCAAAATTATTGCTACTAAAGAAATATGTATTCTTATGCTTTTCAGCATAAAATGTTATAAAAGCCTTATAATAGATATTTTATATAGTAACCTCTAAAAAAAAAACTGAGCACTTGTGAAGACCTTTTTAAAAACAAAACACAGTCAACAAGTATAATACTTTCCCCCTCATTGTCATTATTGATGATTTATTTAGTGTCATTTGCAAGTTTTACTCGGGTGCTACTACCACGCGATACGACAGTTCACACCAAAGGCAATTTTCTACGAAAGATGTTACAATGACCCCTATGGTGCTTGTATAATTTCACATTTGATAACCAAGTGCACAAATAAAAAGTTTACAAGAATGATCCTACTAACCTGATCCTTGTCCCTTAAAAAAAAAAAAAAACCTGTGTTACATCAGCTTTGTTTTTTGTTTTTTGTTTCTTTTCCTTTTTTGAGAATTCTAATTCAGCACAACGTCTGGTGTCCGTTCTGCTGTTCTGGGGAGCAGCTAAAATAACAGCCTGGCTTTGGTATAGTCTGCGATAGACTTTCACAAGTAGGATAGACACCAACCCTTGCATTTCCAACCGTGAAGTTACTTACGATGATGGCGTGAGTCACTTATGAGGGAGGAAACAGCACAGACACAGAATAAAAGTTTGAGACCCAGCTTATCTTTAATCCTCTGGGAGAAGCTATGGGACAGGCAGTCTGAAGAGTGAATACTCAGTGTCGTGAGCGATGTGCATAAGTTTACAATAACACGGGCACAAAGGAGATTGTCGCCTTCGGTACACCAGAGGGTCATTAGGATTTCTCGTGTCCATGCAAAGTGATATCTACTTGCATGAATTTACCACAGGTTGGTAGCGGACTTTGCCATTTAATGCTTACAGAGCCTAAAGCTTCCAAAATGCCTATCTGGCCTGTACATATTTCATTAAAAATAAACTCTATATAATAAATAAATATAAAATAA